TTCCTAAAAGGTACGGTCTCCATTTTTCTACTGCCCACACGATTGCCAGGCACTCGTTTTCGATCGTTGAATACTTCTGCTCAGCGGGTGTGAGAACGCGACTTGCGTATTCCATCACTCTATCAGCCTGATTCAATACAGCACCTATACCATGATCACTTGCCTCTGTGGCCACTGTAAATAGTTTCCCGGGTTCAGGCAGTCGCAGCGTCATCTGACGATCGTCTAGCATGTTTTTGATTCGGTTGAAGGTTTGTTCGGCAGTCTCAGTCCACGTAAACTTGGTGTTGCTCAGCAACTTATATAAGGGTGCTGCTATTTCGTTGAAATTATTGACAAACCGACTATAGAACGCCGCTGTTCCCAGGAACTGTCTCAACTTCCTTTTTGAATTAGGTACTGCAATATTTTTATGGTAAGAATTTTTTCCGGCAATGGTTTTATTTCTCCATTTCCCACTTTATGTCCTAACAATGTGACGCTGTTTTTCGCTATCTGCGACTTTTCTTTATTAATTCGAAGTCCAAATTCGTCAATTCGCTTTAAGACTGCTTCCACATGCTTGACGTGATCTGTTTCTGTCAGGCTGTATACAACTACATCGTCGCCATATACCTCGACATTATCCAGATTCTTGAGCAGTAGCGTCATTAATCTTCTGAACGTAAACGGTGTACCCGCCAACCCGAACGGCATTCATTTAAATTGGTATTGTTTATCACGTACAGTAAATGCTGTCTTGCTGCGATCGCTATCTTTTATAGGTAGTTGCCAATAATAAATCCAGCACTGTAAACACCGTGGCATTCTGTAGCCGATCTAATGTTTCCACCACTGTTGGCATTGCACAAGGTTTCAGGTCTGTTATATTATTCAGTTCTCTAAAGTCGACACAAAATCTATACTTTCCGTTGGGTTTCTTTACCAAGAGTACTGGTGAGCTATATGGGCTGTCCACTTCCACAATTATACCTTCTTTCAACATTTCCTGGACCTGTCGATTTACCTTGGTCTCTAAATGCATCGGGACACGACGTGTTGCAAATATTTTTACTCGGTCGTTCTTTATTGGGATTTCATGCTTTACTTTGTCACAAAATCCATACGGCTCCCCATCTCCAGTGAACAGTTTCGCATACTTTTTGCATAACTTGTTAATGTTTGGTTTCTCCGTCGAGACGTCCGTTGCCACTCTTATTTCAGCCACTTCGCTACTGTCGTGTATTGGCAATGAACCATACTTTGTGACCACCTTACCGCTTCTTAAGTCAATTATCGCTTTTACTTCTCTTAGGAAATCTGCTCCTAGTATCGGTCTCGATAAGCTTGTGGTTACCACAAACGGAAAATTTATCTCAGCTCCACCCACTTTTACAATACTGTTAGATACTCCCAACACCTCTAACATATGCCCTCCTATAGTGTGGACAGCTAATGTACATGGCTTGAGTGTCTTACATTGCTCTTTGCCTATTAACGATACCGCTGCTCTTGTATCGATCAGACATACTAAATCCCTCTATCTACTAATGCAACAACCCTCAGATTCCTAGGGTAGAAAGAACACGCGTTATAACGTCTAAAATATCTATGTCGTCGTCTTGTTGGACAGTTTGCCTTCCAATGTCCTGTCCCTCCACAAGCGTAACATTTATCGTTTCTTTTATGATTTTCTCGTAATGCTGCAATCTCACGCTCTAGATGCTCAATCTTCTTCTCGACACCACTTATCTCCTGCTTTTTGTACCCGACCGGAGCCACTGTTCGTGTCAACAGCTGACGAGTCACTTTCGCCAGTTCACTGACATCCATAGGTCGTGCTGCGTTTACTAGCTTCAGCTGCTGAGAAACGGTGACAGGGACACTCTCCATAAACTGCGACGCCAGCAACTGCGCCTCCGACTCCTCATCCAGATTTGGCAGCGCACGGCGTAACAACCTGGTGAGCTTCACAGTCAGCACCAGTGGGTCACCATCGACCGACAACCTCGCCGACCTGAACTTCTGCAGTGCTTCCTCCCTGTCCACTGGGCTGTCGAACTCCGCCACCAACCGTTCCGTAACTGCCTCCCACGTCGTCTTCCCGCCAGCACCGTCCAAGCTGTCATATACATCCTTCGCCCTGCCTCTCAGCAGCGTCCCCAGGGCCACCAACTTCGCCTTCGGCTCCTTCACGCCCAACAGCTCCGTCACGGCCTCAAACTCCTTCAGGAAGAGCAGCACATCTCCGTCCTCAAATTCCTTCGGCCATGGGATCTTCATCGTCAGTGGAGGCAGCGACACCAAATGTAGTGAACAGAACACTGGTGAGGACAACGAAATTCTATTTAGCTCAAATTACAGAGTTAATTAGTAAAATAGAAAACCATATATTAAATCGTTAATTTGCAAAATATCAATCCTTCATATTAAACTGAACTGTTCCTGTTACAAATATCAATTCATTGACTGACATTTCATTGTTCATGATTTTTCATACAAATTCCATTGTGTTGCCGCTCTTCCTCTCTTGATTTTCCCCCATCTTCTTCTGCCCGATATTACGTTTAAAACTCGCGTAATATACTACTTATATCAATATAAGTAGCGCGCACCACAATATCATCTAGATAAGCTGCTGTGCCAGGTATACCTGTTAGCATCGTATCCATTATTTGCTGAAAGATGGCAGGTGCGGTCTTGATGCCAAATGGTATACGGGTGTATTAAAATAACCCTCGATGAGTGCTAATGGTCAAAAGCTCTCTACTGTCTTCATCTACTTCCACTTGCAGATAGGCATCGGAAAAGTCTATTTTCGCGAAACATGTCCCACCATTAAGTTTGGCAAACAGGTTTTCAGGAACTGGTAACGAATATTGATACACATCTAATGCAGCATTTAAACCGGTCGAGAAATCGGCACATATGCGTATAGTTCCATTCGCCTTCTTAATCACTACGATCGGTGCGACCCATGCAGAGTAGTTGACTGGTTGGATTACACCAGCCTGTTGCAAGCGACTAAGTTACTGATCGACTAGCTCAAGAGCAGCATATGGTACAGGACGTCTCGGACGAAAAATAGGTTTAGCATCTGGTTTTAATGGTAAGTGAGCTTTCATCTTGATACAGGGGCCAAAACTATTTTGAAAAACAGAGGCAAACTTTCTTTTCAGTTTTTCTAGTAACCTTTCACCTGTCTTCTTTGCAAGTACTGGGGTGTCTGATGATGAACATGATACGTTGCAGGCACTGTTAATCGGTACATCCATTATTTCAAGTTTATCTAACATATCTAGACCAAGAAGATCAAGGTTTGGCCGTTCTGTTAGGTAACATATTCCTGTACAGTTAGTTTCATTGAAGGAAAATTCACACTGTAATTCACCAACCAGTTTTAGCACACCACCTGATGCGTTTTTGGCCGTTTTCTTAGATGGCTTCATTGGCGGTTTACTCAGCAAGTTATACGTTTCTCTAGACACTAAGGTGATATCTGATGCCGTGTCAATTTGAAGACGAGCTGATATGCCGTTTATCTGGATGGTAACATACTTTCTCCGAATGTCATAGTTTGTTTGAAAGGCAGCTACCAGAGAAAGAGAGTTAGGCTCGGCTGATTTCACATGTCGAGAACGTTGATGCTTCTGTTTGGGATGAGACGTACGATTCGGTGGACAATGACCTTCTTTATGTCCACGTTTGTTGCACACCTAACATATATGCTTCTTAAATGGACAGAATCGTACAAAATGCCAGTCACCACATAACCAGCATGCAGTCGTTGGTTTGTTACGAGTTGTTATCGGCTTCTGAACTTTTAACCTAGTACTAACATTGACACTACTGCAGGTTAAATTAGGATTTACCTGTTCAATCAACTCGTCGTGTCTGATGCTTTGTAGCCGCTTACACTCATCTGTCAACGTTCTGAGTGTGACGTTTGGGTCCTGATCCAGTCGAGCCAAAGTCTAGTCCTGATCTCAGCATCTTGAGGTGACTGAAGAGCTTTGATGAATATTAGGCATTTAAATTGGTCTTCTGTCAACGAGCGTAACTTGAACCGTTCACATTCTCTGTTGACGATGTCTGCTAAAATACCATATTCATCGGCTTCGCGTTTCACCAAATTTAGACACTGATGTCGAATACTAAACAATGAGGAGGATTCACCGAATATCTCTGACAATTGAATTGTCGTCTCCTCGAAACTGAGTTCGAGGTAACTTGGGCAATATATGGTCAGCATAGCGTGTATGTTCATTAATTCCTAACTTACGTACCAACAATCGAGTCTTCCACGCGTCATCTTGGTTACCGAATTCTATTTTAAATATATCTTCCCAATGTTTGAACCACGTGAGAAAAGTATTTCCGCTTTCGGGATCATAGATGAATTCTGGTATGCTGCTAGCAATGGCATGTGAACTCGAGCAGTGGAAGCTAAGCTGTTGAGTCAGAGTCTCTAACAACCGCATTTGTGCATCTAATTGTTGTTGCTGTTGTTGTAGTATTTGGTTAAGCCGGTCATCTGATATGGACATCTTGAATTTATTTTCCTTTTTCCCCGTCGCCACTGTTATTATTTCGCTCTTACGGTTTTAACCCAGCTATTCCTATTGCTTAGTATTCACGGACACAGATTTACTCGACAAGGCCCTAAATCAGAACACGGTTGAGCAGGAAGGAGATTATATTCCAAATAACAAGGTTAGATGGAAGCAAGAAGCACAAAAGGAAAACCGTTAGTATATTTATAATTTTTACATAAGAAGAATCTAGAGTCTTCTCCATGTATCGACTAGTGCTGATTGGATAAGGATCAGCCAATCAGCGTGCGCCAAAACAATCGTGCATTGAGCATGCTTAAATCCAATCTATGTCCCACTAACATTGGGTTATCGTTTCATTCGTTTAGTCCTGTTTTTTTTGTAATGCTTATTAAAATTTTTTGTTGAGCAGTACATTTCATAACACGTTGAGCTTTACAAATTTTGTTGATGATTTGTTGAAAACAGGTCAAATTACCATTGAGCAATTTGGCTGTGATTAGGTCGACCGAAAGTGAAACAGATTTGGATTTATTGATTACAGGTAAATGAATAATTTATTGTGTAAATATTCTCACTGTTTACTTCGTAACGAAAATTATACTTTTAAACCAGTCCAGTAATTAAGTAGATGTATCCGGCAATGAATTACACTTTCTTTTGTAAGCTGATAGATCGCGGTTCAAACTCATAGCTTACTAGTCTAACTACAAAACCACTGCTCTTGTTTAACTTTGTCGTTGACGTGCTTTTAGAGATAACACTTTCCTCATCTAAATTTCCAGTTGAACTTTTACCGGGATTATAGTCTTTGGATAACATCTTCAAACCCTAATGTTTCCGATTACTGGTTATACTTTCAATACCTCACCCACTACGGGATTTGAACCGACAATTGTATCTCTGTGTTAATGTGGTTTGGCAACTCGAACTGATGTACGTGCGTATGAAGTTCTACGTTGTTTACTGACTGACTGACTGCTCTTGTAAGGAGTCATATTTTGAAAGAATAAATTCAACAGAGAAAAGTGACTTCCGTCCTTATGATTTGTAGTAATAGTTCTCGTAATTTCCTGAATCTTCAAAACGTTAGTCTATTAGTTAACTCCATGTCGAAGTACTGTCAAGTGTACGGTGTGATTACAGTAAGGTGTTTGCTTCAGATGACCAGTATTAGCAGCAATACTGCTTTCTCTCAGAATGGTGGGTTGGAAAAGTCTAACTTTTTAAAGTAGGACGCATTGACTCTGCTCATAAATTTCTGTCGCCGGTTGTAAGGCCTTGTTACATGGGCTTTAAAATTACTCACTAAAATGTCGTATGTGACCGACCTCGAGCTGTTGGTTTCTAGGGATCTCGGTTATGATCCCTGGTCGGCAAAACCAATACTAATCCAGTTTCATTTTCATGTCTGTCAGGAAAAATTATCCTTTACGGTGTGGGAAACGGGGAAGTGACAACCGTCGCTTCTCGTGGTATTCCTGGTGTAGGTATGCTACGGTGTGCAATGACAGGGCCGGTACTCTCTGACTGGATCCCTGTTGACTGTCGTTTAGATGCTGTCTGTTTAGATGGTTAAATAAGAGCTTAGAAAGACGGGGATACATGCTGTTGCCTCTTCATCGTCTCTACCTACACCCTCCAATGTTTGCACCAAAGCTTTCGGACCCTTCAGAATCCCAGGGGTTCAGAAACGTGGTTATTGTAGCAGGTAATTTAAGTACCTAAGTCTATTTGCTAGTTCAAGTTGAGTTTTTTGACGTCCCGAACCAGTGAACAGATAAAGGTGATTGTCTGTTGCGATTATGCCGATACAACCGCTTAATCTTTGCAAATCACCAACTTTGGGCTTGTGGAAAGACATTGTCTATGTAGAGTGTGTGCATCTCCAGGTAGCGAATCATGGTATGCGGTCTGCTGTACATACATGTTGGACGTTTGTCTGAAGCCTGAAACTAGTGGTGCAGCTGGATATAATCCCATGTGATTATTCATCAAGTCAGAGCTTATGGCGAACTGTCCCTAAATTTGGTAACATTACGTGGTGTTTGCTATGATTGGTCACTCCCTATAGTTGCATGTAACTTTGTCATGAACATTCATTTGGTCAAATCTCTCTTCTTTTCTGGTTTTTCAAGGATTGACCTCTTACCAGGAGAATCACTTACTGTCTTGGAGATGATGTAGTTCTTTTAGGTAAAAACCCTAATACGTCCAAAGTCTTCCGAACGCAATGCGATCATGTTTGGTATGCATTTCTCTTTCTCTAGATACAAAATACTGTTTCACGACCAGCCTGCATGATCCCCTAAATCGGTTATAGTGAGTGAATTAGTTGAGTGCGTGAAAACCATTGGTTATTCTGGTGTTAAGTCGGCTTTCCGAGAACTGCAACAGAGCCTCCAGAGGCCCTGAAGGAGCCGAAGAGTCTTAGCCAGTCAGATCACGATGGAGCTTTCTAGAATGCCAACGTGGCGTGCTACTATTGGTCAGTAGCATAATATGTCTTTTAGCGGATTGGCGAAGATATGATGTTGATTTAACAAATGTTAACATCTATAAATACCCGTGTTTTTCTGTACAAAAACGAACCTTGAAGTAAAGTACTTTTCGCATACTTTGCGCCTTCTCTCTCGTGTTCAGGTCGCTGTATAGTTCTAGCTTGGGGGTCTTCAAGAATAGCTTAGGAATCGAGTATAGCGTTCAAAATCTCAAGACTTATCATCTGGAAGCCCTATCACGTTGATATAGACAAGGTTCTCGTGTAAGCGAAGAGGCGTGTTTAATGCACATAAACTATGTTGTATCGCGGCCAAACTAGGATGTGACATTAGTCCTTAACTATTGGACTGGGGCGTGTTATTAGACACAGACTACCTACCTAAAGTCGGCGCGATAATCGTAGTCAGTGTTTGCAAACGTCGGATAACATGGATGTGAGTCGGCGACGGTGGTGTAGGTGCATTTACTCTTTACATGTCCGTAACTTCAGAGCTCCAAAATTATTATTATTCCCTGAATTCATCCCTTCTTTTCGGAATTTACTCATCAATATTTAATTTTTCTCATTACCGTTGATATTATCATTATTCGCATTTCATTTTTTTCGTGTTATCAGTTGCATACTAAGTATTACTATATTGATTTAATTACCCATTAGGATATCCGGATACAGAGCTTCTGATTAAAAGTTTTCAAAAATATCTATCTTCCAGTAAATTTCTCATGTATGTACTCTCCATATTTTCCCTGGTTTGTTTATCTGTCATTTAGATCTTAATTCCATGAATATGGATGTTATTCCCTGTCAAATAACACTTGCATGTACAGATCAAAATGCTAGAGATCTTTTGGTATCTACATTAACTGACCTAATACAATATCAGACCCAGAATGAACAACAGTTACCAGATATTGATCAAGGCCATATAAAAGATGAGAGTATTTCTTTGGATTTCTTCAGTCAACCTGATTCGAGTAGTTTGGACAAACATGGGAATACATCTCTAAGTTCTTTACCTTTACAAAAGGACACACTAGATGTAAAATTTTTACTATTATCATTGCTTTTGTGTTAAGATCTTTAAAAAATTGGTTGAACGGGTGATAATGAGAGCATTTTTCAAAAAAACCGTAGATTGTTTCAACTTTTAAAAAGCGATGGGTTAACAGTAGTGATAGTTTCACTAGGACACCCACAAATTGTGTGATTTGAAACTGACTCCACTAATTTGTACTTGGTAAGTGGATAATTCGTGAGCTAAGTCTCCACCATAGATCGTTACTTGACCAACTTTGCATTATTCGATTCTTGAATCACTTACATTTAAAGCGGACTATTCTGATCATAAATAACCATCTATTAAACTAGATTCTTATCAAAGTAATACTGTGCAAAAATGAGCAATCTGTGATTCAATAGTTTTCCAAGTTTGCTTTCATTCATTAGTCTGTAGGTCCAATCACTGTTTTATTCACCTTACAATATGTTAAAAGTGTTTCCCTTTATGTTAAGATTAACTTATCAATTTTCCGTTACAGAAAATTGGTTAAGTTTATCCACAGCGTTCTCATTGTTCAATAAACTTGTTGTATCCAACGCCTCCGACTATTTATCTTTTGTTTTATTGCATAAGTACTGCATATTAAAGTGAAAATGTTTTAGCGATTTCATTTAAAGCCGTACATTTCGCTATATTTGTTGTTTTTTTATCTAGCAAGTTGAGCTGCACTGACATTTTCATAGTAAACAGATAAGTGCAACTCCAACTGTTCAGAATGTAATCTTTAGCGAAAATACACCAATATTCAGCAATCACTCACCTAATAGACGGGAGAATGGCTAGAGTGCTAGATTCAGTAAATTCCATCATTAAACGGAAGCTCAGAGTGAAATGAATAAGCTTTTAATTAGGTTATATATTTTTACAGTTCGTTTATTAGCCTTAAAGATCTCTATGTAGGTGGCGGATGACTTGATTTTATTTAACTTTGATATATGAACTTTCTAAAGATAGAGCGGATTTTATCCGAATAACAGGAATTGTCAAAGTCTCTGATATCCAGAAATATGCAATACTCAAGAACAACGAACATGATAAAAAGAGTTAGTTAGATTAACAAAGTGTCTACCGGATAATCACAGTAACTGTGGTTCTAATACATCAGTAGTTATATTCTAATGTTTGAAGATGAGAATTTTTTCTGTTAGTTCACAGTTATTATCCCAGTATATTTTTCCCAAAATTGAAGCTGTTTCTCCCTACTGGATTTTTTTCATAAATGAATGATTTTGGTGGAGTCTTATCTTCTGAGCTGGATGATTTAATCTTGAAGCTTTGATTATCCTGATCAGCACTATTAGCACCGACTTCGGTTAGAAGTGCTTTACTTGAGTTTCTCCATATATGATTGACAGCTCGTCCTGTCGATCTTAAGCTTGATTGGTTATTGTTGATGTTTTTCTATCATTTTCTACCTGAAGTTCATGTTAATAATGTTGTTCAGAGGAACAATGAAAGCTTCACTATTAAATCAACCAGGGCAAAGAATGGGACTTCAGTAAAAGTTATTGAGTTTTATTTTTATGTTAACTTTGGGCAGTAAATCAGATTTCTCTAGTATTTGCTATCCTTCTAACGAATACGTTACCTGCTTTTTAGAATGAACATTTAAAATTATCATCAAAAGTGACCAGAGATGAAAATAATCAGATTAGTCAGCATCAATCAACACTGATGTCGACATTGTCCATGAAAGATCCTCAAAGTTTCAAGTTTCCTCCTGACTCCACTGACAATTTGGTTGTTCAGCACACTTACACAAAAGATATTTCTAAACTATCCTTTTTCAATAATGATAATGATAACACTGTAAAAATCACAGATAATTGTAATTTAATCAGCGATTCGACTAATAATAATGATAATAATAAACGTCGCTTCTCTACATCATTGAAAAAGAATAAAGCTCCTAGACCATTAACTGAACCATCAAATATATGTGCTGAAGAATTGAACAATGAAAGTCAACAACAATCATCAGTTATTGACTCTCAATCAAAACAAATCTTTACACCAATGGATAACACCTGCACAGTGGTTCGAACTTCAGATGTATTAACACCATCTTCAGGCTTACGTTTTTTACCTCATAGAATTACTACTAATGCCCATGTTCTCTGGTTTGGTAAGTTTTATGCATTCAGAACCTACCGTTTCGAAGTTGTACCATTTTGTTTTGGACACAATTTCGGTTTTTGTAGATGTATAGCTATTGCTTCGGCAACATTAAGAAAATGGAATATAAGTGCCCTCGATAACCTTCTATTTACCTTGTAGATGGTTTTAAATCCAGAGTCCATTTTGATTGAGTGACATGTGTTTACAAAGTTTCTACAATAAGTGTTCATCATCACCTAAGTGGACATAACCAAATTCAAACAAGTTTGTTTTATTTTTAATTCAGTTTTATATTTGTATGGTGTCTTTTCTGCAAGGAAAATTTCTTCTGTATTAATACAGTTTCAGTGACACTAAATAATTACCATGAAACTTATTATTCATATGAGTATATATTCTCTTTTCCGTTTAGATATTGATAAATCGATAGTTGGTACACGACAATCATATTCAACACCGAATGATTTGCCTGGTATTATTCCTTATAAAAATAATGAACAATTATCATCTGATAATGACTTAGTTCATGCAATTCATTGTCTTCGTGTCGATGGTCCATTAGATTTTAATAGAGACGATGGAATCGGTTCAGTTAATGCATTAAATAATTTGGGATTGCTTATTGATCAGAATATTCCTGGTTTGTTGGTAGATTTTTCTATTTTGCACAAGAATCAATACAACCGTGTGAGAGCTCAAAGTCCTAAGGTTACTGATTCAAGTAAGGAATCACGTCGTAAACGTGGTGGTATGTTAATCAATTGCTTTTTTATAAACTTATTTGTTTATTGTCATTTATCTTTGATCCCTAAATCTTATTGTTCATAATATGCTAGCACATATACTGTATAACCGAATATTTACTTCACTAACCCTGTGTTTTTCTACACTGTCTACTCATAGAGTAAACTAAACTTTTTGACGTGAAAATAATACATAGTAGTATGAGTTTTAGCTGAACCAATAAATATTCAGTAATATTCATAGTCTTATTAAACCTGATTATCATTAGCTGTTTTGTGTGTCATATGAGTTGGGATTTTACGATTTTAAAGGTTATTCATCACAAATTAGTTTTGAGAGTTACTTACTGGGTATATGACCTCTCTTCTCACCTTGTTTGTGGGGAATGGAAACAGTTGTTGACTCGGTTAATAGGGTTCACACTATGGGAGTACGTTCGTACTTAGGCAACTTCAAACTTCCTAACTTTTTTTTTCTATGATATTTTATACATCCTATCTAGTGATGTACGACACAGTGAATTTATGTTTTCTTTTAAACTACTAAATATAATCAATTCTAAAATATACCTGACGTATAAAAAATGATAATGCATCCAAGTTGATCCCCCTCAATTTTTAACCTAGTGTACAGTATACAGAAGGTAATTTACCAATTACCACTAATGATAATAACACATACAAAGTCATCATGATGAACAAAGCAAATATGTTAAGAGAGAGAAACTACTAAATGATAGATTGTATATGAATAAGCAGTGTTTTAGGTGTTTGTTTCTTTGAGCTGGATGGTTTGATCTTGAAGCTTTCATTGTTCTTCATTCAGCTCGGAAAACAAAATTTCACCTAAATCATTCACCTGAGTTACAAATGTCCATCATCTCGTAAGCAATATTTAAAACCGAAATTATTGTAGAGATATGGAAAGAGGTTGATAAAATGGGTAAACAGTTGGTTGCATCATTTATTAAATTTTCTTTGATTATACAAGGGGCGAAGATATTATACGTCTCTTGAATACAAAGATTAGGACTGTTTTCTCATATCCCTGTATTCATCAATGTTTGTGGAATATTGGTGAAAACTACTCTAGAAATATGGAAAAAAATATAAATAAGCCTAAACGCTTTAGTTCTATCTTCAGCATGACCACTGTTGATCGAGTGCCCTAAAATAAGGCAACGTATTGATTATATGTTGACTTAAAGCACTATAAGAGGTGCTTAGTGACTCACTAAGAGTGAATTAGAAAAAAAATGTGCTACTGCACTTAGCTGTTGTAATCTGCATAATCTGCATAAAATTAAGCTTTCATCTCTTATTTTCAATAACTTACGAATGAAAATGGATATATACATATATTCCCTTTAGGAACTGTACAATTCTTATGTAATAGTAAGTTATTCTTCATTTCATACTTTTAACGTATGAATTTGCCTCACTTACCCATTTAGTTTATTTCTCCATTCATTCGTGGCAAGTGCATATGTAACTAGTCATTTCCTGTGAGAAAAATTTTAAAAGGATATTGTTGTGATGAGCGGTGTCCGAAAAGCTATCCTGATATATGGTATACTACGCGCTAATCCCCGAACTGACTGTTTGAACGAGAAAGTGTTTTCGACGATCGAATAAAATGCACAAATACTCATATAAACACCACTCTAATCCTTAGGAAACTCATCCATTCGTTAGTCAGTGAAATAAAGTTGACTTTTAGGTCACTTTTGATTGACATTGATTGATCTTCTCATTATGCTACTTCTGATTAGCTTTCTATTTCTGCTATGTTTTGTTTGAATTCATATGCTATGTCTTAGGGATAATAATAATCTACCTGTATACTAATTTTTCATACCGCTAGTTTTTCATGTTTATGTGGGGTAATAACTATCAGTTCACTGCATACATGTATAGGACACAGACATTAAAAATATGTTGTAAAAAATGTTACCGCTTCAAACCATTTGGTGCCTTCCCTTCCCTTCTCTTACCTACTTTCTCCTTAAAAAAAAATCAATTGATAATGTAACCGCTACAAATTTTGTACTTCATTTCGAGTCACAATGTTTTTGTGTGGTCCTGTAATACTACTTAACTCCTCAAACTGACTTTAACGGAGTAGGGTTCGAACATGTGACTCATTTATGATTATTGCTTTAACCACTAACTATATATGAATTGACTAAGGTATCCATTTTGTTAAACTTCAATGATCCATGTTAGCCATCTCTTTAACATCAAATGTTCATTACTCTATGAGTTGCACGTATTAGACTTAGTCGTTCTCAGTCGGAAATGGAATGAAATGTTCTTTTTGAACCATATGGTTAATGATCATCGAGCAAACAAGGTAAGTTTCGTTTACTTATTGACTAAAAATACCTTGTTACACTATATGTATATAATTGTAATATGATGTTAAATTCTAATTTAGATCGTCAGAAAAGTGCTATCACTGCAGAAGATGTATTACGTTCAGCTGGAAAAATCCGTAAATTATAATGTTAATGTATTGTTTTATAATTATAATTCAAGTGTTTCAATTTATTGTGTTCTACTTTTCTTTCTGTATTAAATACAAACTGGTTTTTAACTGTGACTATCCTTGTATATGTACTAGTTTGTTTATGCATGCACTTACTAAGTTCAATTCTTTTAATTAGATTCAAACAAGATCTTTTCACATTTATCAAGTTAAATTAAATGGGTTTATTTCGTCAATGTTAGTGAATTCACGTTTGTCAAATGTGATTACTATTACTTTTTTTGGTTTAAAAGAGTTGTTAGATCCCTTAAGTTATATCTGACTAATTATGATTCAGATTATAAGTATATTCACTCATTCCTTAAATTAAGATGTAGTATATCAGAACTCAATATTTTGCTAAGCGCTATCTGACTACAGTTTAATTTTTACCATGAAACTATTGAAAAGAGTCATTTATAGTATATAGAACAACTAAATCATCATTTCATGCAGTTAGTTCCCTTTATGAATTTAAATAAAGCCAAAACAAATATTGATGCAGAATAATATGAATTTATTATATTTCGTGGTTTCTTGTCAGTTGCTTACAACCAAATATGTATTAGAATTTAACATTGAGATAAGAAATAATGTGAAACAATTGACAGAAATGAATGTAAATAATATATATATATATATATATATATATATATATATATATATATATATATATATAGAGAGAGAGAGAGAGAGAGAGAGAGAGAGAACAGGTCAAAGATTATTAGGTGTTAGAATCAGAGTGGTGGATTTCAAAGACAGATAAGATAAATTGTGTCATAATTTTAGAGGTAATAAGTTTATTACTTTCTCTTTTTGAATACATAGATCCGGTTTAAGTTTTTTTTTTTATCGCTATCGCTTCATCATTAATTGATTTAGTATAATTGTCATTTAGTCGATTGATTTTCTTCCTAACGTATCAAGTATAGCTTAGTGGATCATTTCACTTTTGTAAAATGTATTACATCAAACTTTCTGTCTATCTGTGTCTATGTTGTTGTGGCAACAATCTCAAAGACGTTCAGATATATGTATCTTTGATAATTTTTTTTCATGTCTAACGCACATAGATTACTTTTATGATATTCTTCTTTCTTCTATTACGAATTGAATTATATCTTCCGACTTCATTGTTAATTATTAACTGATAAATACATTGCTAAAATTCTTGTTAACGATAAAATATGTTGAGAGACCGATCACAAATAAATTTATTAGTCATGTGGTGTGAGCTACTTATATCCACATAAGTAGTATATGAAGATTGTCAGGGATAGTATGTATTTAAGTAGAAGATCAAGAAGGAAAAGAACAGAAACGGAAAGCAATTGATATGAAAATGCATGAACAATAAGATCTGGGACGATTGACTGATATTTGCAAAAAGAACTGTCAAGTTCGAGACAACTGATTGATATTTTACAAATTAACTATTTACTGTATGGTTCTCAGATTTTAGTAAGATGCTCTGTAATTTCGTGTTCAAATACATTCGATTGCCCAACTCGTGTTCTTGTTCACTACAGTTACACACTGTAATTATCATAGACTTCGTAAATCCGACTATATTTCCCTTCGTCTTTAATCCCTCTAATCAAATGCTTTGCCTACTTACTAGCTAATTTGCCCGTTGGCTTAATTACGCAACATGTGTTTGTACACTTGAAAAAAACATGCAGCCAAGTGCATTTGTTTGTGGTAAATATTTTGTTTGTCTTTATTTGTTCATTTCATTGTCTTGTACATATCTCTTTTTTTCAATTTGATGTATATGTAAATCGTGCTAAGCTAATCAATAAATAAATTAATTTAGTTTGTCATCCTGTTTTTTTTTTTCACTGTTTTCTTTCAATGATTAGATGAAAATGAACTCCGAACAGTGGATGATACGAAAATCTTAAAAGTTATTGAAGCATATTGCGCTAGTTCATGGACACATCCCAGTTATCGAACATGTAAGCTAATGTCTATTTTTGTGGGATATTGTTGACGTTTAGCACACTTGTAATAGATAAAATCAATAATTGAACTATTTCTAGATACTTTCTTTAATAACTATATTTCAAGTCCAGTTTATCATTCACATATGCTTAGACTGTCAGATTGTATGTTCAGTTTCCATATGTTTGATATTTCTAAAAACTCTAGATATTAAATTGTACACGGCTAATGTGAGTTGAATTAGGCTATGCTTTCATACGTACGCAATGATTAAATTTTTTTATAGTGGTCCTTAATAACAGTATAAACTTGTTCTATTTGTCGTTTAATAATGAAATGGGGATTGAATATTCCTTTTGTTGATAAACCTGGGATTTATTTATTTATTTTAACACATAGATATTGGTACAAGGAGGCACCAAATACATATGCGCCACACAGATCTCATTTGATAAGTGTGAGGGCTGTGATACTGCCCGGGTGCCCAAACCGAAGCAGGTGGTTTTCTTAGGAGGCCACACCCCGAGCCTTCGACCTAAAGGTCTGATCCACAGGGCAGTGAAGCATCGTAAGGAGATGCAGTCCCATTGTAGCCGGTGACCAACGATTGGTTCATACGCCATTTGTTCCTTCAGGATACTGGAGCCCATGTGCACCATTGGTTTGGGATCCGGTTAAAGCGCCGGAAATTCGCTTTTCGTCCTCTGATTTTCGTAAACAACACCCCCGCCACGAGAAGGCAGTGAGTAGGACTTCCGTGGCAAAGGCTATATACACATGGCCATGTGAGAGCATTTCGAAAGGGAGAGCGGACTCTCCCCACTCTCGGTCGTACCAGGGCATTTGGGAGCAATCCGGGATTTAACTTAACCATATTTAGATTTTACTCAAAATTAAACTTTTGTATTATTTAGTCAACTAAATTTTCACTTTAACTGTATGTCAGTACTAATTAGGTATTGAGAAGCCTTAGAATTAGCATTTAACGTAACTTGATTGTAATTTGAGGAAGTTGGCAGTCGCAGACTACATAGATTAATACCACACTTTCGTTGTCCAATACTTTTTTAAAACATCATCTTTAGCTAACGTTAATCGAAAAATATCGACCAAGAAACATTGATTTCGACCACCAAAACATTTGATTCCCCTTCTGGTATCTAATAATGAATACAGTGTTAAATATCGATCTGTCAGAGGATGGATAAATACTACAAACTTTCCTTGTAGTTATAAACATTTAATTTTGAATTCACTTGGTGTTGTTTTCTTGTATCTTCCCATTGTTATTTAGGACTGCAATTGATCAGTCTCTTATTAGCATAGGTACATCCTGTGCGGACTGCCTCAATATTACTTGAAGTCACAAGCTTTATAAGCAAAGATCGATAGTGACGCGTTTCATCCTATTTGGGACTCGTCGACTGTGGATGTACCTGCATCTCAGAGTTGATGTTCACAATATCGAGGCAGTCCGCATAGGCTGCACATATGCCAATAAGAGACTGATCAATTACAGTCCTAAATAACAATGAGAAAATACAAGTAAACAACGCCAAGTGAATATAACTTAACCGCATAGCAGTTGGCTATCAGGACTCAGTAGCTGAGTGAAAAACGCGATGACGTTTAAAGTGAGTTCCAGAGTGAACATCAACTCTGAGATGCAGGTACATCCATCCGACGAGTCCGAAATAGGACGAAACGCTTATCGATCATCTGATTTGTTTATAAAAATAATTTAGATCTCTCTTAAATTATTACTTAGTTCTAGGGTTGGCACTTTTAATACTTTGTTTAATATTTTCAGTTCTCTTCAATAATGCACTGTAATTTAAGCTATAAGAATCTTTGCACTTTGTGATTTGTCTTTTCTCTATGCTTAAAATTAGTGGACTCCGTAAAAAATGAATGTCAAATAGGTGGTCAAGGTATTCTGTCACCGGTTGAAAGCCGAACATTATTACAAGATTTCCGATATCCTAAAAAGCCGTCTACATCATTTCTATCCACATCATCATCGGGTATGCATTCAAGACAAGATCAAAACTCACATATAACTGATGCTTCCATATTTGAGTTATCTCGACAAAGTTTACCTCTTTCTATGTTTAGTTCAAAAGCATCATTGAAACGATCTGAATCAAAGAATAAATCACAAACATGCTTATTACAAGATGGTACAATTTGTTTAAATCAGAATGCGGCAGCTAATGTGATCAATTCAAACAGTAAGATTATCTCCAGTGTTACAACTAATACTAGTTGTAGTAACTGTAATCCATGCAATCCTAATCAATCTTCCAGTAGTTATACGCATAACATACAATGTGAATCAATTTTAAAAACATTTTCACCACCTCCAGTAATTCTACCAACACACAGTGGTCGACGTTAACCTAATGAATTATCCATGTTTATTATTTAGTAATCTATATTTGTTTACTTCAATTTCATCTCTATAATTATGGCTTATTTTTTATTTCATTATTTTAAATTGAGGCATTTAGTTATTTACTTGTTTTGTTATCGAATTTAGTGTTTATCATTTGTTCCACTGGTTTATTATTATTATTATTATTATTATTATTATTATTATTAATTATTAATTATTATTTCTTCTTCATTCACACCTAAGCGATAATATTCTCAATATCCCTATAATTTTCATCATTGTTTTTTATCAATGATAAATATTTGTCTTGAATTTATTTTATTGTGTATCCACTATTCAATTTAGCTGATGATAGTTACTACAACCATTATTACTCCTCCTCCTAGTACTACTATGACTATTACTATTAATACTATTATTATTATTATTATTATTATTATTATTATTATTATTATTATTATTATTATTACCTATACTGGTAACATAATTTTATTAATAAAGATTGAAAACAGTTTCCTAATTGTTTTACTTTTTTCTTATAAAAGTTAAATTTTTTAAAAGTAGTAATAATTTATCTAAAATTCTTTACCCAAAGACAAAGAATATTTAAAGGTACAATTGATTGGTTTTTTTTTTTTTTTTAAAAAAAAATAATATTTTCATCAGATTCTATGATTATAAATTCATAATAAATATTATTTCAATGAATATTTATGTTATAGTTGAATTATACAATATTTCTTATATTAAATATAGTGAATTTATTATGTCAATTACAATTCAAGTGTATGTAACATGTGTCACCTATTATATTCTACATTCATATCAGAAAATATGAGGTGGTCAGTTATAATTAATTAGAGTAGATGAACGTACTAACTTATTAATAAGAATTCTTAAATGGAATTCTATTTGGTAGACCTATTTCAGATATGACTTTCAGTCTATACTATTGTTAGAACTTGTGCCGTCTGTCCTATTAATGTATAACGTAATGATACCGTCAATTACAGAACAGTGAATTATTGATCGGACCAATGACGCATAAAAGCCGTGTGAACAGTCTAGAGTACTTATCGGTCGTGCATCCTGTCTGTTAAGTCTAGAACACCAATCTCAGCCCCTCCAGTATGAATCATATATTTCAAACATACTGGGTTTATATACCAACCAAACAGACCACATCCTACTATAAAATAGGAAATAACATTTATACAAGATTTAGCTAAAAATAGCTGTGAATGTGGGAGGTAGTAATTGATTAACAGGGCATAGCTCAACAATGGTGAATCGTATAATAATAGTTCATAGGTCAAAATAAAGCTTATGTTAAGAGGAACACGAATACGGATAGTTTAGTTATTTAACAATTATACGATAAAAATATATGTCTATTATTAGTCCATAAATAGATTCCGAAAGTTACCATTCATTCTTCTCATTGGGATATAACAACTATAAAACAGAACTGCTTTTAAAATACAGACTAACCACTCATCATTTCATCCAGATTAGGAAAATGATTTGATAACATTTGATTTTTCGAACTTGCATCGTGATATGGTAAGTGCTTGTGTTTATCCTGATTAAACTATGCTTCTATAAACTTTTAGGCCCATATACATGTTCAGAAGTTGAATCTACCGATTGTCCCTTTAGGTACACTATTAATTTGAATTTACAAGCCTCTATAAAACCTTAAAAACTAATTAATATTTGAGTCCATACTTACGTTCAGTACTTGTTTAACGCATAATACTAATAGCACTCGAACGTATAGAACCCCCACAGTCGCAAATAAGAAGACACAAGAAGCAGGTATATTGATTGTTGAGTAAGAATCAAAAATGTACAAAAAGCATGTGCATTTATAGTTATTAGCGTTGGTTATAACATCATTATAATTCAGCCAATCCGCAAGGTGGTAAGTTTGCTGCAGTGAATGGGAACACAACGGGGACAATCGAATATGTTGCAGGACTTCTTAGTAAAACCTGAGAACCAAACAGTAAACACTTAGTTAACAAAATGTCAGTCAATTGCCTCAGAGTGCACTCTTCCTTCAATTTCTACAACAACACTCTTTGTTCTCGTCCTCTTTTCTTCACTCTTCTTAACCTTCCGTTATCAAGCATTTCACTTTCTATCGATGATACATACTACTTATATCTGTCGACGTCAGTTACACACACCATAATGCTACTGTCCATTCGTAGCATGCCACGTTAATATTCTTGAGTTCTCTATCAAATCCTGATCGGGTAGAAAATCGGCTTCTTTAGGACCTCCGGAGCCCCTGTTTATCTTCTGTTTACTGAACAAATCATAGTAACACCAGTTCCATTTTTCTTGTGCTATCTACTTCACAACAAATCGAATTCTCACTGGACAAAAAACATTGTACTAATGAGTTTCTAGAAAATTGCTTATTTTCTCTAGAATAAAATTGAATTTAATTTATAAAAAAGCTAATTTATAGGTTTTTTAAATACTTCGGAATCAACTTTCTGACTGATAACGAATGATTCACTTGAAGTAATATTTTCCAGTGCTAGATTTTCAAACTAGAAAATGGATGGAAACCGTTTATTACAATTATGATCATTATCAGTGACAATTCACGGTTCCATGGCGAATCAAAAACCAATAAATAGTTGTTTTGTTTTACCGGACTTAGCAGTTGCTCGTTTTATTCGAAGTAAACACTCTCGTGTCCAATGGTGGTTATTATCAAATAAGTAGATGTTTAGTTTAGTGAATTCCTTGTGTACAATTGGAAACAACTGTTGTCATCGCTGAGTTTAAAACTAAACAGAAGTAGAATTCGAACGGATTTCTTTAGATGTTAATAACTAGTATTCAGATAATCAATATGGAATTCCGATACATTGAATATTGATAGTATGCTCTTCAATAATACACAACTTTTTTGGATAACAATTAACTTTTAAAACATCTTTAGTGCATTATCTTATTTTGTACACTTGTAAATTAGACATAGCGACGTCAATCCACGACTATATGAAACTGATCTGATTACTAAACTATTTATATTGATTATTTGAAAATTTTATGGAGGGACTCCTAATAATCGATCTTTATTTCCCAAACTAAAAGCGTAAACACTCATCCAAGTTTCCACACCTCATTAACACAACAAGATGATCACGAAATTCATATAAGTGGTCCCTTCTACGGTAGTAATATACAAAAAAGGTTGCGTATGAGGATATAATACAGGGAGAAAGAATCAGTTTGTAGGAAGAAAGATATAAAACAATTTTAATCTCACAGCTCAAGGGAAGACATAATGTACTCATCTACGCCATTGTGATAGATTCTGACCCATGACACCAAGAGTCTCCAACCATTGATTACGATGGTCACGCGGACCCCAACCAAGTAGTTTACATCTACCAACATGGCCCAGACCAGAAGTTAGTGACTTCAAACATTGATGACTCGTTTTCGTTTGGCCGCCCCTAATATTCTTCCAACCATCCCCAACACTATTCAGCATTAGGCGTCGAGGTAATCGGTGTTCAGGTATGCGTAACTCGTGGTCCAACCATCTCAGTCGATGTAGATTCACGACCTCAGCAACTGGTTTACTATCATTCCCTAATGCCTTGTGTCTAACCTCACTATTACATAACCGGTGATCCCAGAGGATGCGAGCAATATTTCTAAGACATATGTTGTCAAATACTAGTAGCTTACGAATACCTACTACTCTTGATGGCCACATTTCGCAGCCTTAAAGTAGAACAAAACGAACTGCTACACAGTATACTTGTCCCTTAATTGATAGACGGATATGTCGCCTTCACCAAAGGTGACGTAAGTTGTCAAAAGCCAAACGAGATTTCTGAATCCGTGCAGAGACTTAGTCAGAGACCAACCCATTAGGGTTGATCAGGCTTCCAAGATAAGTGAAGTTGTCGACGCGTTCGACCACTTCACTCCCCATCCTTAGTTCAGGTGTTGACGCAGGCCAGTTATGAAGCAACAACTTGCATTTAAAGGTGAAGAAACGCATTCCAAACATCTTGGAATTGCTGGTCAGTGCTACCGAAAGACTCATCATTTTATTAGCATCTTCACTAACCAGGACTTTATCATCTGAGTATTCTAAGTCAATAAGCGGATCTCCTGGAAGGAGATCACCGTTCCCAAAGACCTTTGGAGCCAATCTATCTGGACCAACTGCCCTTCCTTGCTTCAGAGGTTACAGTAGACCTGGGACAATATTTCACGCTCTAGAATCATCTGTGATGACAATTGACGAGGAAGTTTAGAGTTCAAAGTCGATGTAGGAGACATAAAAAGAATTGAAGAGGGAAACTGGTTATGAATAAAGTAATATTGCTAGCTGTGAGAAGTATGGTGGTGGTTTTCGTCTCTCGGTCGCTCGCACTGTGGAAGGGTTCCAGAAGTATCTGGTAAAGAAATTGGGTTTGGGGCGGTCTTAGTGACCTGAGAGGGTGACCGCAGTGCCCGAGGGAGAACATCTTGTTGCCGGTCACATACGGTTTTTTGTAAGTGATTTTTGTGCATTTTGGGACCTTACCACCGGATATGGAAATCCGTGAGTGTTGGGGTATTCAGAAAATACCCCAGAAATTATCTAATGCTATTCCTGAATGAGAAATGGTGTCAATACTCTTCCAACGTGTCATTTCTCTATTGCTCAATATTTATTTGTGTCATTTCCTGGAGGTCAAATCTTGTACAAATGTTACTTTCTATTTTATGGTACGATGTAGTCTGTTTGTTTGGTATATAAACTCAGTATGTTTGAAATATAACGATTCATATCACAGAGGCTGAGACTTGTGTTCTGGACTCAACTGGCTGGGCTAGACAGGGAAGCAGGCACAATCAGAACTCTGGGCTGTTCTTACGTGTTTTACGCGTCTTTGTTCCGATCAATAATTCTTTCTCTCCTCAAACCGCACGTCTCTCACTGTTATAACAATTGGCGACGAGGTGCACAAAAATACAATCCAAATTCAGCCTGTAATTGGACGAAATTGAGTAACTATTTCGACAAATTAGCATCCATATTCGGTACTTGTAGTGAATAGAATAAAAATGAGACAATCGAATGTATTAGGTAACGAATTACAGAATTACTTATTAAAATTCAACAACCATATATTAAATAGTTAATTTGCAAATTGTTCATCAGTTGTCTCAAATGACTCAGAATACCTTTGTTCTTGCATTTTCATACAAATTGCATTCTTTCTTCAGTCTCTATTGTCCTATCTTCTCGTCTCTCTGCTGCCAGACATTCTGTTCAGTACTCACGTCATATACTACTTATGTCTACATAAGTAGCACACACCGCAGATTGACTGGTTCAAACCTGTTTTTTGATTGATCACATATAATATTCGTGTGTTTTTCCTTTGTACTATTTAAACTTGGATT